CCCTTCCCTCATCAATATAAACCCTAATCATCGCTCCCAAAACCCCACTCTTTTCCTTCTTCCTCAGCTCATTTTCTAGGGTTTTCAGAGATCTCTGCGACTCAATTTTCTCTCCATAGCTATATCTCGCCGGAAATCTCCAACTCAATTACTTTCTATCGTTCAATGGATAGCTGTAGAGAAGAGAGACCGAGCGAAACAGAAACGACGACCGTTCCGGCCGCCGTTTCTCCGGCGAAGACCAAGCGGGTTAAGGGCGGCGACGAAGACGAGCATGAAAGCGTGGAGGCGTGCGCGACGCCGAAAGGCGAGAGGTTTCGGATACCGGAAATGAAGACTTGCCCTCCGGCGCCGAAGAAGAGGAGGATGACGTCGCCGAGTTTTACGCTGCAGAAAACGCCGATCACTTTCTTCCTCCCGCCGCCGGACGTTGAGCTTTTCTTCGCGGCGGCGCCGGCGGTTTTCAAAATGCTAGTGTAGTCGATGATACAACACTCTGAGAATGAGGTGAATTTGAATTAATCGAGACTCGATTATGGATACCAATGCATTATGCAAAAAAAAAAAAATGTGATCACATGATTAATAGTTTGTTAATTCTGTGATCTCTTATTAGTTTTTTACATTTTAGAATGTTTTTTTTAGTGAGAATATTAGCAGGATTTAAGGTAGTTATATTTAGGTTTGGTTTAATTTTCTTGTAATCTGTGTACAAATTGCCTATAAATTAAAGTTTTAAGTTATATTATATTGTTGGCTTCTCCAAACTACTTCTTGTATACAAAAGGCAAAGCCCTCACCCCATTCCACCCGATAAGATTATGAAAGAGTAAATCATAATGAAAATTTTCAATTTCTTCTGTTATCTCCTTTCGATTTAAGTGGTAGTCGAACTTTGAAATTTTTTAAATTTTAAAAATTAGACAAAAATATCATTCAATTCCTAGGATTAATAACCTAATGGATCCTAGCTAAGGCTTTTACCATATCTCAAAATGTATGTTTTACTTGTAATTCCTCAATTTTTCGGGTTGTTTAATTTGAAGTTTTTCTTTTAAAGAAAAACCTTGACTCTAGTGTTCTGATGATGTAGCCTTTAACCATATATCTGATTTGAAAAGCATCCATAAAAAGTTTTTTTTTCATAGTCCACTTCAGGTAAAGTTAGGTAAAAAAGCAGAATTTAGTTAAGATATATCCACACACACACACACATATATATATATATATATATATATATATATATATATATATATATATGTGCTAGTTAATTGATTAATATTCCTTTGATATGCATGCATGTGTCACAATCAAGAAGATTATTTTGGAGTGGAAGCTCCAAAAGTGATCGAACTGCCCAAAGTAAGGTGAGTGAATTCTCTTTCCAATTCCCTTTATATATATATATATATATATATATATATATATATATATATATATATATATAGAAACAATTCCCTTTATAGCTAGTTTGTTTGTCGAGTTGTGTTTACTTTGGTCGAGTTTAAATCAAGCTTCTTTGTTGCACATATATATAGGTTTTTCTTAGGCGTTTTGTATAGCTAGCTAGTCCGTGCTATTTATTTTCTTGACATTTTTATTTTTTTTTCATTCCAATTATATCTATAGTCCCGATCCATTACTAGATAGTTAATTATTATACTGTAAAGATGAATAAAACCAATCCATTCGAATCTCGGTCGTCAAGCAAGCCCCATTTGGGATGTTATTATAGATAGTCCAATTCTCTAGCTAGCTAGCCGGATGAAATATATAAATATATGGAATAGTACACATACTTCAAATTTTATTTCATTTTTAACTCTCGACGACTTACATAAAGTGTTCTAGCTAATTCATTTAGAAAAAAAAATTAGAACTGAGTACGTGACTCACAATTCTGATTACTCGATTTCTTTTCTATCAATAAAATCACAATATGTGACTTGAATTTTACTTCATGAAAGTCCATACACCATTTTCCATTTCTTATCATAATGTAAAAAATCACTTGGTGTCACATCACCTGACCTGATCATACACACCTTAGACGGTGCGAATTTAAAAAATTTTACTATATTATGAATCCGTAAATAAAATAACACTTATATATAATTGAAGGTAGAAATTCAATTGGTTTGTAAAAAAATTGGCATTATCTTTGTCCAAGAAGAGTGGGAACAAAAGAGAAAAGATAGTTTGGATTGTAGTCGAGATGATTGTAGGTGTCAGATTGTGGTATCTATGTATGTATGTATATATGTCCATATGAACTCAGCCAACATTTGATCATCAAGCTAAGGAATCCTATGAAAGGGCTCGTGCGGCTTCTGATCATTCTTATGCATGATGCTAAGAGAATCTTTCAATAAAATCAATGCATTTATCCCCCTTTTTGGGATCCATGTTTGGCCCTAATTTTATATCATATTTGTTAATTAATTAATTAATTAATAGATTTGAATCGGCTTCCAATTTCACCTCCCTCATCTCATTCTCATGTTAAAAAATAGATCACCAATGTTCGAATTTCGACAGCAGCAGTGTGAGAATTATGTTCAAAGTGACAGATTCTTTATGTACGTACACCTGCATTTGACGCTATCTGATGAGTCATTGAGTCACCGTGATTTACATCCTCCTAAATGTTCTGTCGGGTCAGGGTGTTGGGGCTCTTAGGGTTGGGGATTTAACCTTTTGGGAAAGAAAAAATGAGGATTTGCCCGGGGACGTGACTTAGCGTAGTGGTTCGTCGCTTAACTTGATGTAGTGTAATATCAGTTGTTGTAATCGTGTTCTTCATATATTGGAATATACATAGCTTTACAGTCACATGGTTTTTCTAGTACAATTTATTTCTTTTGTGTAGTTTGTTGGCTATTACACAAGAATGAAATTTATCTAATGTACACTCTCGGGTAGTGGTTACTAGTGATTTTCTTCGCTATATATCCAATATTGTTCATGATTAAAACATTCAGATTTTGGGAGACTGTGTGGTCTTTAAAGTGATGAGCTAAGAGTGTAAAAAGGTTGTTATATATATTGAGCATGTTTGAGATAAGATGATGAGCAAAGGGGGAATGAAATGATTGCCCTGGAATGCATATATGCATGATGAGAAGATAAAAGAAAACCCACAATTGGCTAAGCTTCAGCTTTTGTTATCATATCTAATCTGCAAAAAGCTTTATTAGAATTGAAGTTTATGATTGCATGCATGCAGCAGACAGAATGTAAGTGGTGATGAGGGGTTTGTAGTCATAAGAAGCCTCCCCATCAAATTATGTCTTCACCATTATATTATTTTCCTTTTGTTGTGGACCATTCATTGCTTGCCATGCCCATATTTAGTTTATATTCTATCAATTCTTCTTCACCTTTTTGAATGCAAAATCCCTCGCCCCAGGGCTCCCTCACCCCGACTCGACAAGATTATAGAAAGATAAGTCACGATGACTTATCAACGGTCTTCTAGCTAGCTAGGTGAGAGGACCTGATGCCACAAGCAACACTCCATATTGAGTGAAATTCTTATGTACACTACATCTACCAAAACTCGATCATGAGCCTAGCTTAGCTTCATCCTGAATCTACCACCCAAGTATGTACCAACTGAGGTACGGTGCGGATATATTATATCAATTCTTCTTTTTTCAATTAAAAAGTTCGTTTGTGCCTCAAAACTAAGCGCTCTTGATGCACCTCCTTCATTTAGGTTTCCAGGCTTAATTTCTCTTTTCTTCTCCCAAAAAGTTAAATTTCCAACCCCAAGGACCCGACAGAGTATTTGGGAGAATGTAAATCACGGATTCACGGTGACTCAATAACTAAATAAACATGACCAAATGTCGGTGCCCACAAGGAATTTTCCCACTTTAGACATAATCTCCACACTGCTGCTGTCAAGATTCAAACCTTGATTTCTTCTCTCAAATACTGCCTCCTGAACCAGTGAGCTAAGCTCGTACGAACTTAAATTCTGTTTTCTTGATTTGACACTTGACAGAGTATAAATAGGCCGGGTCATGTAAATCAAAATGATTGCTTAGCTATGCTTTATTATTGTATTATTGATCATCACCATTAATTTGGTCATCTGTTCTATCTTTCACTTTTGAGTTTTGAGGTGCATAATTATGTACTCTCTGGACTCCAATTGGGGTGGGGCAATGGTATAGTTTGGTGTTTTGTTGAATGTGACTCAATCATGGTGGTACTCAATCAGTGTCATCACTCATTATTAAGGGTTCTTTCACTTTGATCCTTGAAGGGTTTTAATCATAGTTCAAAATCTCGCCGAGTTATTTATATTATATTGTTGGGTTTTGGACTCAATCTTGTTGTTTAAGAAAGTAACAAGTGTTTTAATATGATGGTATATATCTAACTATCGAATAACAATGACAATCTAAAATATGAATTAAAAAGAAAATTGATGTACTACATTGTAACGTAGTATTCAACAAAAATAAAATAAAATATGAATAAAGGTCAAATAGGCCATCGAATAGCACATGATAATACAATTAGGTCACTACATCTAAAAAATCAACAATTAGATCCTTAAACTAACTAATTTCAAACAATTCTTCCAATTTAAAAGTTTTCAACAGGTCATCATCTCAAATGGATTATTTTAAATTAAAAAAGTGTCCTATTTTTTTAAAAATAATATATATATATATATATATATATATATATATATATATATATATATATATATATATATATATTAAAAATAATTAATTTGGAAAGATACCTGTTGGAAACCTAGCTTTAAATTGTGAAGAATTGTTTGAAATTTGTTAGTTTAAAGATTCAATTGTTAATTTTTTAGATTCAGTGACTTAATTGAATTATCGTGATGTATAGTTCCATGACCTATTTGACCCTTATTATTTAAAAAAAAAATAGTAATCAAATATAGGACATAACATGCCTTAAAACACCGTTTTACAGATCTTAATCCGTGAGACTTTCTCCCCTAATGCTAATTACTAAACTCTCCCTCGACAAATAGGACATGTTCTGCTCCTCCGCAGCCATTTGGCAATGCATTCATTGTGGAATTTATGCAAACACATCGCCAGTTGAGTGATCACCTCCTCTCCCTCAAAATCCTCCAAACACACATTGCAACATTCACCGCTCCGATCGCCGCCGCCGCCGTTGAAAACTATATTGCCGAGAATCACTTCCGCCGCCGCCGGCGGTGGCGGTCGGGTTTCCAATTCCACCGACATGTATAGCCCGCAACGCCGACCACGCAGGCAATTGTAAGCACTATTCCCCATATGGTGAGCGATTTCCCGGGCCACCTGAGGATCCAGACCGAAGAATGCTTCGAGTTTGCCGGAGAAGAAACGGATAGATCTGTCCAAGGACGGCAGTTCGTAGTGAGGATCGAAGATGAATTCGACGGTGTTGTCGTGCACGGTGGCGTCGACGGCCGAATCGGACGGCGTCGCCGTGGCTCCGGTAATCAATCGGATACTCAGATCGCCTTCTCTTGGGTTCGGCAACGAGCGGCAATGCATGGTTAATCCTACCATTATTATTAATTCTCTTTCTGCGTGCGTCGAGAAAATTTCAGAAACTGAGAAGATTTCAGATAGAGAGATGGAGGGTAGGGTTTTGACTGATTAAAATTTATAAAGATATTATGGCTTTGTTTTCTAATCTTCATGGGAGTAGGAAAGAATGAAAGATAATCCTAATTAAGAAGACTTGGGTTCAAGATCATTAAACATGGATGTTTGAGAGAACACATGATAAAAGGCATTTTCGTAATTAGGATGGCACAAATTAAAACAAATTTACTATTGTAATTATAAACAGAGTTTATTTATTTAATTTTTGTCATATATTTATAAGTGATAGTCTATCTGTAGTTATTTTTATTCAAAACATTCTTATTTGGTCATATTATTATTATAGCATGACTATAAAAAAAAAAAAACAATTTAAATGTCATGCATTTTGGTCTAATACTATAAATTTATCATAGAATTAGGTAAATAGAAAAAATATATAAAACTTGTGATAGGAAGAAAAAAAAATCTAATTAAACAAATTTTAAATTTAATTGGGAGTAAAGTAAGAAATAAAAAAATGTAGGTTATTCTATGAATATGTCGTGTATGTTTGGCAAACTTAGCTAAAAAGGTATGTGAAAGCAAAAAAGTAGCTGAAAACTGAAAAACTATAAGCTAAAAGCTAAAAACTGTTATACTACCTGATTATGTTAAAAATGTTTGGTAAAATTAGCGTTTTGATAAGCTAATAAATGTAAAAAGACTAAAAATGACATCATCGTCAAATTTAAATAGTTTTAAATTTAAATAGATTTGTTTACATATTAAAATTTAACATTTTGAAATGAAACTATTACCATAATCATGATCTAGCATCCTATAATGAAGTTTGAATATTGTTGCGAATTTCCTTCATCTCAATAGAGGTCTCAGTTAAATTTTCGTCTTTGATATAAATATTACTACTTGAATAAAAATTTAGGAGAAAGAAAATGCCAAAATAGTTTTAATTAAGAATAAATGATGTCATTTATTTAAAATACTAAGAATAAAAGATGGGAAAAAAGTTCTATGGAGCTATTAGCTTATTTTTCAAACGATTTCAAAATATAGACTGTTATTTTAAGCTACTAACTTATTTTAAAAATATTACCAAACATAGCTAATAACTTATAGCTTATTAGTAACTTAAAATAAGTTATAAGTTCTTAAATAAGTTTTGTCAAATAAAACCATAATCTAATACTATGAGGGCCGTGGAATAGCTATCCCCTTGTAATGAGAATAATTCATTCTCGGGACACAAAAAAAAAAAAAAAAAAAAAAACATTAATAAATAAAGGAAAAGGTCTATTTTCAAAAATTTCATTCCATTGCAAATTAAACGTATTGTTAAGTCAATAACTTTGTGGTCTAGGAGGTCCTGGATTTGAACTTCAGTGGACAGTGTTACTAAGGCTCAAACTCATGACCTCCCATTTAAAAAATTTAATTCATGTCACTAGACACAAAGTGAATTGTAGCAATATATATTTATTGAAGTAAATACCATCAAAGGTCCTTCGACTTTGGTGGCACTGCCACTTTTAGTCCTCAATTTTTAAATCAACCACTTTTAGTCCTCTTACTTTTTGTTTCTAGCCATCTATGATCCTTCTGATATACTTGGTCATCTAATGCCGTTTTCTCAAGGGTAATTCAGTCCTTTCATAATTAATTTATTAATTATTATATTTAATTTCTTCAACAGAATAGTCAAACAATGGTTTCTCCATGAACGTGTACAAAACCAGCTCGTGAATCCATATATGCATTCATAATTCGTCACCGCTTTTATTGGGGAAACCATTGTTTGACTATTCTGATGAGGAAATTAAACATAATGATTAATAAATTAATTATGAAAGGACCAAATTACCCTTGGGAAAACGGCATTAGAATGATTAGATGGCCAAGTTGAATAGAAGGACCATAGATGGGTAGAAACAAAAAGTAAGAGGATTAAAAGTGGTTGATTTAAAAGTTGAGGACTAAAAGTGGCAGTGCCACCAAAGTCGAAGGACCTCTGCTGGTATTTACTCATATTTATTGATATGCAATTTTAATTTGTATAAATAAAACTTTTTTTGATGTAAACTCTTTTAGTTACTTTTGTCCAAAAAACTTATACTCCGTATTTAAATAAATTTTGCATGGCGCTAAATTGTCGCAAAATGTTGGTTTTGTAGCAGTTCATTCAGCAAAATCACAGTCATAAATAATTGTCCGTACACAATATGGCCGGCGACGCTCACCGGCGGTGGCCAGCAAACTCCGACGGGATTCGAACTGGCACAAGGCGCGTCGAATTCCTTCGACATAGCCGCTCAGTGGAGCGGCCGTATTTGGGCGAGAACTCTGTGCTCCGCCGATCAAACCGGTAAATTCTCTCGCGAGACCGGCGATTTCGGTTCGGGTCAGTCTATTAAAAGTTCTGTTTAATATTGTGATTGATAGTATACTTGGCGTTTTCTCTGTAGTTAATAGCATTGGTGTTTCCCCCTCGGTATGTTATAGTATAAACATTAGTATGTATTTGCCTAACAAGCCACAGGATTTGGTTCCTTTCAAGGGAACAAAATTGTAAACCTATCTGTACTGGAACTGTTGCTATTGTAAATCTGTACAGCTGAGCAGCCATGAAACTCCATGGATTTTTCCCTATTTTATTGTAACTCTGTATATCCTGCAGTTATTGTGAGTGTGTGTTTTTTGCTTTCATGATGCCAAAGCAGTCCAAAAGTTTTCTGTGCATTGACTTGTGGGGGTGCCAATTGTATGTGACCATCTCCAATCCATGCCTCCTGCTCGTCTCATTTGTGCCAACTGTAATGAGGTAATGATGTTAGTGATCTTTTATTCTTGTCCAAGAGTGTGACACTGTGAGTCTCCAGTGTTGAAAATTGAAATTATGTTTGTATCTCATATGGTTGGTTTACTTTTAGGAACTGCAATTGGGTGACAAGGGAAACCCGCAGCCACTACCCAATGGTATGCATTGGGTAAACCCTGCCTTGTGATCCTAGCCGGCAAAGGACCACAAAGAGGTAAACCAGTCTAGGTGCATAAATTTCACCTTGTGACTCTAGTGGCAAAGGACCACAAGGAGATAAACCAACCTAGGTTGCTCATAGTTGATCGACTAAACCAAGAACGCTAATAGGCCACTCCCGCTGGGAGTCGAACTTGTAACCTTGTGGTTTTCAAGTCAACTGCTTGACCAACTTGGCTGAGGTTGCACTCATTATTTCTGCTATTTGTTTGAATTGATAGTGGTGCAGGTGCATAAAGTCTTGCAGTGAGAAGAATAACTGGAGTTCTGCAGGCAGTTTAGAGGGAGTTTTCAGATAGTTTGTGGTTACTTACTCTGCCATCTCTCAGTTCAAATATGACTGAATCTTCAGTAAAAGCAATTGGTCTTGTAGATGAAACCTGCTTATGAATCAACATGAAGTTACAACAATTTTGGAGTTATTGTAATAGCTGATCAAAAAACTAAAAGAGTCTAACCTTTGTGTCACAATGTTTGTTGGAAGGATGCAGGTTTTCTTCAAACTCTGGTGTTCTGGCAGCAAAATCTTCATTCCTACAAGTTCCTTTCTGTTTTGACTTATCTGCAGCCTTTTCTTCAGGTATGTATGGGAAGCCACAGTCCCTCCACTGCCATGTGCCTTGATCAAGGAGCCTAAGGTACACTCTTCCATTTGAACCTATTAAAAACAGCTGAGAATCTCGAAAGCATGGCCCGGGGGAGCCAACCAAAGTTACGCTTTGGTCTGGGGTTCCATGTTCCACCCAATTCCAGCCATCCAATGAATTCCAATTGTATTCCACTAGTCCTCCATCCTCTGAGAGCATGAAAAGAGAACCCTTCGACGAGAGAGGTGATGGCCTCATTGCGGTTCCAGGCACTTTTGAGAGAACCAAGTGTTGGGACTGTAAGTGTTCATGCCACAGTTCAGTAACTTTGTTGTATTGATATAGGCGCCCGTTACTTCCAATGACAAACACTATGTTCTCTCTGAAGATTTCCCGGTCTACTATGCTTGCAATCTTTGTGTTTGGTGGATTCCTGCAATCTTTCCATTTGAACTTTCTCAATGCAACCTGCACAACAACTTACACTAGTTAGCACTCTATGCATTACTTACTATTCAAGAACAAGTAGGAACTCGTTTACTGTGAAATGATCAACAGGGATGTTAGCAAAAATAGTTGTTCTTAGTATTAATGTTTGTCTGGTTTTCTATTCTCCTGACTTACAAACCAGATAACTGAATCTACTATTTATGCTACTTACTCTGAACTGTAGTAACCTTCCAGCTTTGCTGACGAAGAAGAGTGCATCTTCGAGTGTAGCCCTCGGAGCTCTCCCGGACAGGCCATCCCATGGAGGGCCACTGGTTACCTGGCTTCCTCCTCTCATGACAGTACAATCAATCCATGCAAGTTCACTGTTGGTTCTCTCTCTGATAAGTAAACTTCCTTGCTCATCTACCAAAAACAAGCTTCCATTATAGCTTCCAACGGCACCTTTCATAGCTGTAGATTGATCATGACTCAGCCAGAACCACACATTTTCAGCATTCAGATACTCGAATGTCATGCCATCTTCTGTGATGAGGAAGAAGGATTTGCCTTCGTGCATCACACGAAGCCGGAAATTTTTGTTGATCCAGTCATCTGGGATATCGTAATCTTCCAGAGGAGTGGCACTGCTAGTGCCTGATGTGATGATTGGTAAATAGTTTTGCTGTGATTTACTACCTTTTCTCCTCCTAGTTGTTGGTGTTCTATTATCTGCTTCACTAGTGTCATCTCTTATTCCTGAAATGCAGTTTGAGGGTCCGTTTTCTTCAGTGCAATACTCGGCATTCCATCCTTCAGTCTCGGGAGCATCTAGTACAGACCACACGTATTTCGGTGATACTTTTCTTTTAGTGTTAACCTGGTAGTTTGGGCCA